CATCCAGAAGAACTTAGGAGAAAGCTGCAGAACCTGCCCGAGGCTTGTATTTCCAGCAGGCCCGGCTGGACGGGTGGGGAAAGGCTCAGTTCCGCAAACAAGGAGCCCACCAGCCCCCCTCACCCAGTGCCTCCTCCCCCAGAGTTCCCCAAGAACATTTCCAAGTCCTCGACATCCCATGTCTCACTCGGAATCTGCCCCCCAACCCACATAGAGCAGATGAGCAGCAGGCAAAATGCTGATTCTGAAAATTGGAGAACAAGGCTCCCGCTGACACTGGGAAGGTCCTCACCACCCCAGGAATCTGTGAGCAGCTGGAGTCATCTGCCGAGGCTTCCACATCAGTCCACCAGTAGGATGGCAAGTAATCGACTCTCAGAGTTAGAAGTTCTGTCCCACTTCGTGCACAAAACTCCTCTGCACTATCCTAGGGAAGTGGCCAAACACCTCCTCTTGGATGCCTCTGTTGATGGGGACCTCATCACCACTAGCTCACTGTCAGTGCTAGTGTCATACACCGAGCTCCCGGCCCCGGCCCCTCACCTGGAAGCACGTGAAGGAGTCTAACCCACGTCCACAGGGCCTTCAAACCTGTCCCACCTGGGGACAGCCATTCTCCTTCCCTGACCAACACTGCCCATCAGCTTGGACACGGCTGGCCTGTCCCCACCTCTCTTAGAGTCCAGCCTGGCACTGGGGCCGTGCTGCAAACGTGATCTGATGAGACACAGCTCGGGGGAAGTAGAGCCTCCACTAGACTCAATGTGATGGGTTAGTTCAGTCTCAGAATCCTGGAAAGTCTGGCTGGGCAGTCACACCACTGTCCCACCTTCACTCTGTGTTTACAGCCAACGGACTCTCCATGTCATTTTTAGATGTCCTGTTGTGAAACCAACTCTTTCCCAGCCAACTGTCCTTCACCAGCTGGGCTGTCCTGTACTTTAGTGCAAGGCTTTAGAATAACCCCTGTTGGGTGAGGATGTAGCTCAGTGGTAGAGGATGTGCTTAGCATTCATGAGGTCCTGGTTTCCATCCCCAGTGCCTCTGTTAAAATAAATAAATAAATCTAGTTACACCCTCCCCCCAAAATAGCCCTACTGTCTATCTATAAAGATGTTTAAGTATCTTCTAATAAACATGCACATGAAACTGCACACAATACAGGCAAGATGGAGAAGGTGCTAGTGTATAAAAGAAAGGCAGAGCTAACTCCTCCAGTGCCTTGAAATAAGATGGCAAGTTTTCTCACCGAGCTTCCTGGAAGACAATGAGAAAAGGGAAACATGAGAGGTTCCCACTGACAGGCAGAAGGAAGCAGAGTGGGCCTTGAGTCAAGACCAACTTTTTCTGGGCAGGAATTCAAAAAGGAATATGTGTCGCATATTTTCCTGTGGAAGGGCCGTTCTGTAATGCGATAGGAAAATGAGCCTCCACGGGGCTCTCCAGGCTGGCGTTTCTCCGAATCAGGCTTGGAGGGAAGAAGCCGCCTGGCTTCGCACTGGGAGGCAGAGGCGGCCCTGTCAGGACCACATTTCAGCACGTTCGCATCAGTCAGCTGCATAATCCAGCCCAAGGGGTCTTTTTGGATCTGGAGTTGTTTCCAGCAAACTTGAGGTCACGCACAGCCTCATGTCATTTAAAATTTTAATCAGCAGGTCACCCAAGTTTGCGTCAGTGTCCCTCGTAACAGGTTGAGCAGGTAGGAAGAGGGCAAGGTCAGAAGGCAGGCACTGAGGGAGTTTGGCCAGAAGACGCTGACTTTGCGTCTCAGCCTGAACAGTCAGACCCACCAGCCACCAGGGAAGGAGAGGGGTCCCCAGCGCCCATGAGCTGAGGCTGAGGCTGGGGTGTCTGGTCCACAATCAGAGCGCCCTGGACCACCCTGCCATCCCCGATATCCCACCCCCCATGCCAACCACCTCCCAGGACAAAGCTTCCAGCACCTTCTATGGCGAATCCCTATGAGATGAAATCCCTTCTGGACCAATGAGGACTTTGCCTGATGGCAGCTCTGGGTCCTGGTGGGGCAGGGGTGCCGCCCCCTCCCCTGATCTTGAGCCACCTGGGAAGGAGCTGAGCTAGACCTGCTCTCTGCCTATGGGCTCCCGGAGCAGCAGGCACGCCCTGTGAGCCAGCCAGTCTGTGACCGGCAGCTCGTTCAGCCAGGATCTGTCCCGTCACCAAACACATGGGTCGGTCCTGTCCATGTGCTGTAAGCACCTGCTCGGTGCTAAATATCAGAATCTCATGAGGCTGCACGCTTTGGTAGAGGGGACAGGAGTTGGGATCTGGACCCCCACAGCAGCTCTCCATCCCTGCTGTGAGCTCTGGGGCGGCACTGCCAGCCCTCCCCGTGCCCAGCTCTGCAGGAGTGGCTGGGCTGCCATCCGTTCACACTCACTGTGCAGTGACATCCCGCCTGTGAACGGCCTGCCACAACTCTTACCGCGTATCTGATGTGAGCAGTGACGTGGATCGTCTAGGTCAGGAATATAAAACAGGTGGCCCCTAGGGGAGGAGCACTCCCATCGTCGCAGAGTGTGACCTCCACTGGGTGACCCCCGCTGTCACGAGAGGAAGAGACAGACATCAGACAGATGCCTGGGGAAATGCATGACCTATATTCCTCTTCCTGGCCAGAGATGTGGTTCCACTCTCTCTAGGTCTGTTCTGCATCCAGGTCTCCGTGGGGTGGTCATGAGAAGACACGGGGTGTGCCAACCTCCTGTAGAGGCTGTGATAATGTAGTGAGGAAGCCAAACGGCCGCACAACCAAGAACTAAAGTGGAAAGGCCACAGGGCTATAAAAAATGAAGGGGAAAAAAATGCAGTTGGGTTGGAAGAGAAGAGAAGGGACTCAGCAGAGGCGTCAGCCCCACTTGGCCTCATGTCGGGTGGGAGAGAGGACAGGGTGGTGGTGGAAGAGGGAACAGACGGAACGGCGTGTGCGAGAGTGGGAGGCAGAGGGGCAGCACTGAGCTGAGCATCCTTGCGTCCCTGCTGAGGAAGCAGGCACGGCAGCCTCAGACGGGCTCAGGCCGGCGTCTCGAGCTTGCCCCCAACCCGAATCCTTCCAAGCTCTCACTCCTGCTCTCTCTTCCTTTAAAAGAGGAGCATGCATTGCAAAGGAGACAGACTCTGAGCAGTATTCCATCGTCTGGATAGACCAGTCATCATTTACTTCTTTCCCTAGAAAACCAAACAGCCCGCCCTCCTCCAGGACCCCACCACGTGCCCCTTCCTGCCCTCGCCCCAGGTTGACGGGCACTCCGTCCTGTGACCCGAGCGCTTTATGCAGACCCTTCTCCCGCACGGAGCCCGAGGGAGGCTGCTCATGGGTCTCTCGCCACCAACTCCAGCCACCCGTGGCCGAGCCCTTTCCATCGCTGTACCCACCGTGCCTGGCACACGGCGGACACCCCTAGGTCCTGGGTGAACGAATGAATGACCGATTCGGGAGTGAGCCTACAGCCTGGGGGCTCCTTTACCAGGAGTAAACACAGGGCCTTACAGAGAGCTAATTTTGCCCTAACTGGCAGGCTCTGAAAAATGAAGAAGTACCGTCTCTGAATTCTAAGAAACCCAGTATCGAAGCCCTTAACAGAGGCTGACACGTGCATGTCGCAGACCCGGCAGAGGCGCTCCGGGGACTCTGGGCCCGGCAGCATCCGCGGTCTGTGCGTGTCTATCAGAGCCCAGGAGCGCTCTGCAGGGAGCCCGCATCCCCATCGTCACCGCGGCCGGGCCTGCCCCGCAGGGGGCGCCGACCGGCTGGCCCCGCAGACTTCGCAGGCGCGGTGGTTAAAGGTGAACGGCTGTGGCGAGGGGAGGCCACCTCTGTCTGCTGGACGCAGCGAGCAGGCCCGCGTGAGGAACGCGGCGCGCCCCGTGAGCTCTCAGGCCAGCTCTTCCGTCAGCTGCAAGCCTTGCGTTTCAGCTGGGAAGTCTGGGTTTCGTCTCAGAAGCAGGGAAGATTGGAAGAGGGAGGAAGCTCTCTGAATAATAAGGAGTTTGCTTGTTGGCGTGGAATCTCCTCCTGGGCTTTACAGAAATGAATGCTCGCTGCTCAGTCTCACATCTTCTCCTTCAGCAAGTGGGTCCCCGCCCGAAGCCTTCAGCTCTGCGGCGCTCTGGCTTCTGCGTGCCAAATCCCCATCTGTGTTCCAGCCCACGTGCCTCCACCTTCTCTCTGGTTCAGTGCAACCCGACACAAAGCTCAGACGCCGAAGGCAGCCCTGAGCCCCTGAAACAGAGCAGGTGGAGAAACCGGCTCTCCAGGGCCCCTTTCCCATTCCTGGCCCAGCTCACGGCCAGCTCGCATCTCAGCTTCCCACGGGGATTGACAGAGCCCAGCCTCGGGATGATGCCGATCCAGGACCACCAACACAGCTCCTGCCCAGTCAGTAGCAAGGTCCTCATTGATTCATTCATTCAACAAACCCTTATCAGGCACCTACTCTATGCCACGCACAGTTCCAGGCACTGAGGATGCTACAGTGAAAAAGCCAGGGCAAAGCCTGGTCCTCCTCTACCCTGAGCACCACCTCTCCCTCCAACTCCCCCTCCCAGGCCGCTCCTCACACATGGTCATGGGTCCCCTGAAACTCATGGCTTCTTCCTTCTGCCTCCTTACCCCAGTACCCTGTGTGTGCTTCCCTACGTGGCAGAAGGGACTTCGCAGATGTGATTGAAATGGAGCGATCTCTCCTGAGATGGAGAGATCCTCCTGATTATCTGGGTAGGACCTCCACACAATCACAAATGTTCTTATAAGAAGGAGGCAGAAGGAGATCCAACCACAGAAGAGAGAAGGCCGTGTGAAGACAGAAGCAGAGGCTGGAGTGATGTGCTTTGAAGGTGAAGGAAGGGACCACGAGCCAAGGGTTACACGGGCCTCTAGAAACGGAAAAGGCAAGGAAATAGATTCTCCCCTAAAAGCCTCCAGAAGGAGCAAGTCTTGCCAACACCTTGACTTTAGCCCCATGAAACTGACTTCAGACTTCTGACTTATCAAACTTTAATCGAATAAACATGTGTTTGTTTTAACTCACTAGCTTGTAGAATTTGTTACAGCAGCTATAAGAAACCAACACACACTCTGTAGTGGGGATTTTCTGGACCCTAATATCCAGGCCTGGAAGGAACATGATGGGCCATCAGATAGTTCTCCAGATTTGTAATTTCCTCAATTCACTAACTGGACAAACATTACAGACCATGTCTGAGGGCAGTGGGGTGCCAGCACAGGAGTGGAGGTGATGAGGACAGGCCTGTCCCCTGGACACGTGGCCCTCCCTGCCCCGGCACGGGCTGCCTGCACACTTCCAGCTTTAGGGAACTCACTCCAATCCAAGGAGGCCTGTTTATCCTTGGACAGCTCGTGCTTAGAAAGTTCTTTCTGTGACTAGAATGCGACTGCCTGAAAATTACTTCTGCCGACCAGTTCTGAGAAAGGCTGCCGCCCAGGGATGAAGGCAGCATTCCAGGCATTGTTCTGCATCTTCATTCCAACTTCTCCAGGCTGGGGAACGCAGCCCAGGGCAGGTTCGCTCCCCCCTTGAATTTGTTACACCACCCTCCCAAATCCCTGGCCTCTGTCACACCTGCCATCATTCAGACACATCTTCTCTGTACCTATGCATCTGGCTTTCCCGAAGCCAAGTTCATTTTGCTTGTGAAATTCCATCTTGCTAGACACGATCCAGTGTTCCTCCCCGACTATGTCATCCAACACACTCACAGACTTAGCTGCATGTCATCAGGAAAGTATTTCTTCTCTTTCTGTGCGTGTCGAAGTAAAAACTTCAACAGCCCCGTGCAGATCACTCTGAGCCCACGTGTCCGGACGCCCAGGCCTGCCCTGCACGGGGCCGCCGGATACATAGGCACAAGTCCTGCAGTCACGCGCCTGCCGCCACCACCCTGGTTGCCCGTCCTCTCCAGGCAGCGCCAGCTTCCTGCCAAGAAACAGTTAAATCATTTGCTCACCTTCAACTATCTGGAGACCCAGGCATCAGCCCTCCGGTGTGTGCGTTCCATGAGCATCAGGGTACCAGGCAAAACCCTCCCAGACGGATTCCACGAAAACGCATGGAGGCAAATGTAGGGTAATCGGGACCCTGGGCTCCAACAAAGATTGGAGAAGGCTTCCTTATCAGCCCTGGGGCCTGCAGGCCAGCGCGCTCAGGCCTGCCGCAGAGCCCAGATGCTGGTAATTAGGGCTATGCAGTTCATTAGAGATGAAGAACAGGGTCTCTTGGAGGCTGAGCCCGGGGGAGCCTGGGAGGGAATGATCAAATAGGACCTGGGTGACAGTCTCTGGGCATCCCTGCCAGCCCCTCAGGACAGCCAGCTCTGGAGCCCTGGTTTTGTGCGTCCTTTGCTCACAGCCTGGTCACAGCACAGGAATTAAAGAGACAAATAACGACCCCGACGTAAAAAATAGAGCAAGTTCCCAAAGTCACACCTGCCATGTCCTCCCACCGCCCGGACACGACTGCGGAGAACAGCCTGGGTTTCGCCTTCCCAGATCCTTTCCTGAGCTGTGTGCACTACTAACTCTTACGCACCCAGGCAAGGGCCTTTGAGACGTGTCCTTGGTCGGCTCACCTGTCCCTTTGCGCACGTCCGACTCCCGGGTCATGCGGGGCTTCGCCTCCGCGTCCCCCGTCGGCGGTGTGGCCCGGGTCTCCTGTCCCATCTGCTCGCAGAGACTTGCTCGCTTCTCCGCAGGCTGCGGCGCGCTCTGCTCTGGGGACACACCCCAGATCACCTCACTGCCCCTTTCTCGTTGGACGTTTGAGTCGTTCCCAGCAGGTTTCCCACCAGAGTTTTTGTTAACCCACCGCCCCCACCATCAGCCGTTGACGCTGTGTCCCAGCGCCCTGCCCGGCCCCGGCCCCGCCGCCCAGAACTCGCCCACGCGCAGCCCCAGGAAGCTCGCACTGTGCTGAGCACACGCTGAGGTCCCCCCGCCCTGACGCGGCCCCCGCGGTGACCTCGCTGGTGGCCTCTTAGTCACCCACCAGGCCACCCTAGGACTCCTGTGCGAGCCACAGTGTGGGCCCAGCTCCGCCGCTCCCTTGGGGGACGTGGAGGCGCAGAGCGGCAGCGATTAGGGTTCCCCCCCTGTGTAACTGACCCCAGAGCCTGGGGCCTCCGGGGGTGCTGCAGGGGGTCTGGATGTTTCCAGGACTCGCGCCGGGCTTCACTGCAGACTTCCCCTGAGCTAGACTAGGACCCTCACAGAGGGGGCGACAGCAGGAAGGTGACAGGTGAGCAGTCCCTCAGCTTCTGTGCACAAGATCGTTCTTAGCAGAAACCAGCTGTTACCGCCAAACCACCCTTCTAAGGATGTAACATAAGGCTTGAACTTTAGGAAATAAAGATCCATCGTCTGCTGCTTTCCACAGAGCACACTGCTCACCTCGCCAAATCTGGACATCCGGCTCCTGTTCCCTCGACACTCGTGTCTTGAGAACACGGTGCCGGGTGCAGGTGCTGTGGCTGATGGAGGGGTGAACAAGGGACCACCTCGTCCTCGGGAACTCACGTTCTGGTACAGAAGGGGGACCGTGGCATCAGTCATCGTGGTCAGACACACAGTTAAGTAGCAATGAGCTTCAACCCCATGTACTTCCAAGGCCAGACTCTATCAGGCTCAGCAGGCAAGGGCCCCGTTGTCTGGTCTCCGGCCCTAGCCCACATTTGACCCAATGGAAGACCCCCGCCCAACCTCAGGCTTCCTTAGTGCTGACCCCCTAAAGCTAAGGTGGCCAATGCATTTCCTCGGCGGGGCCAACCTCAGCTGATTGGCAGTGGCACCTGTGATCACGGTGCTGAGAGGATTTGAAACTAAGCCTGCTGGATCCAGGGTGGGAGAGAACCAGGACGGAAAAGCCACGCCTGCCGCCGACACCAAAGACACAGGAGACGCCGCACATTCAGTCCTGACCTGCAGGTGTTTCTGCTCCGCTGCTCAGTTGCTCCAGCTTGACCCCAGCGTATGAGTCAACTTCGTAAGAGCCCCCACTAGCCTTGCTATCACAGTGACCATCAGAGGCTCTCAGGGCCACCTCCGTCCCTCCCAGCTCACCGCTGGCCCTGAGCTCAGCTGGCCCCGGAGACAGCTCTCCGGGAGCTGTGAGCAAAATTAATTTGGACCTAATTAATTCACCCAAACCATCCACCCCTGAGGAGCAGGCTAGAAGGTTTGGGCTGGTTAATCATTGTTACTGGAGCTGAAGGCAATTAGTTTGATAATTTTGATTCATCCATAGAGAGAGAAAAAGTCACAGAGCAGAGAATAACATTTGTCTTGTTGGAGGTTTACAGGGACATCCTGACCTGACCCACATGGACAGCTGCAAGAGCAAAAGATTCCGACACCAAGAAGTTTGCAACAACCAACCACACCCCCTCCCCTTTTTAGTATAAAAGGAGCTTGAATTCTGACTTGGGGAAAACGGTTCTCCAGGACATTAGTCCCCCATCTTCTCGGTCTGCCAGCTTTCCAAATAAAGTCATTATTTCTTGCCCGGACAGCTCGTCTCCTGATTTATTGGCCTGTCCTGCAGCGAGCAGAGTTTGGACTCAGTAACAGAAGGTAGCCGTCTGGGTCCGTGAACATTAAAAAGCATGAGTGTGGGTGCTGGTAGCTCTGGGTCTTAGACAGCAGTGGGTTCAATGGTTTTGCACCACGTTCCATAGCAGGGCCCGAGCTCCCTGGCGGAGGTGGACAAGAGGAAAGTTTCCTTCTCCGCCTTCTGCCTTAAGCAGAGCAGCTTGGATTTTTCTGTCTGTGTTTCGTTTTATCTCACGTGTTACGTGTCTGAGAAACGTTGCAGCAGCACTGAGTTAATGCAGTCGCCCTATTACAGATAAGGAAACTGAGCCTGGCCTCCCCAGAGCCTGTCTGGAGTCCCCTGGCCACCTGGAAACCTAGGCCGGCCCAGGACCCAGACTCCACACCCTTACCCGGGATCCTCGCTGGAACATCAGGCAGCTGCCGCAGGCCTGAACTTGCCTGCATTTCTGTGAGTCAGAGCCTCCGATGCTCAGCCCTGATTGTGGCCCTCGGGGAGTGGGTGGTGTTATTATAACTAAATATAAAATTGTGTTCAACATGGCAGAATCACACAGTGCAGGCTGGCCAGACGGTTTTCTCATAGGGCTTGCTTGAAGGAGAATGAAGATACAGCATTGTTTGAGATGATCCCAGAAAGCAGAATGCAAAGCAGACCAGCCCGAGGGCAGAGCCAGCCCCTGGGGTAGGTTAGATCGTCAGAGGCCTTTCATCCCGGCTAAGATTTGCTAAATAATGTCAAGAACCGAAAATGTCAGTAAGTGACACCTATTAGCGAAGCCTGTGGTTTCTTTAATGGTTAAAACCTGGGTTTTATCTCCTGTTCAGCTTGGACAAATGTCAGGACAGGTACCATGTGAGACTAGCAGGTCCAAGGAATGTTCGGGACAGGCTCGCAGCCCTGGTGTTTCAGATCGTTCGTGTGGAATTCATTAGGCGGGAAAATTATTAAACTTCTGGTCAAATAGGAAAAAAAAAGTGTATTCTTTGGAAATAGAAGGTATTCACGTGTCGGCAACCAGGCCCTACCTCCAGGGACAGGGTTTTTCCGAAAGAAACCTTATCGGGGCAGCAAGTCTGTTTTTCTGGTGATTTCACCCTGTTCCCACACGTCTTCCCGCGGGCAGGGCACTCGACCTCTCACCGTGACCCTCTCACGTCATCTCCCCAGTCCTGTGGGGTAAACCGGGCACCTTTCAGCAGGTCAAACCAGTCGTGGACTTGGCTGAGGTCACCCAGCCTAGAAGTGACAGAGAGGCATCCAGGAAGCCGCCCTGGGGCTCCTGGCCCAGTGCACCATCCTGGGTGTCCCCTTCCACACCCCTGAGGCCCCCAGATGCCTCTGCTATGGACTGAATTGTGTGACCCCAAGTTTATGTTGACGCCCTGAGCCCCAGTGTGGTCATGTTGGGAGACAAGGACTTTAGGGAAGTAATTAAGTTTAAATGAGGTCACGAGGGTGGGGCCCACATCAGGACGGGGCCTTATCAGAAGAGGAGGAGAGATGATGTCTTTCTCTTCCCTCTACACACAAAGAGAGGTCATGTGAGGACACAGAGGGGGGAGGGCCATTGCTAAGCCCGGAAGCACACCCTCACCAGAAATGGAGTTTGCAGCACCTCGACCTTCGACTCCTGGCTTCCAGAACCGTGAGAAAATACGTGTGTTGTTTAACCCCTTCGTGTGTGTACTTTGCCGTGACAGCCCAAGCAGGCTAAGGCGGCCCTCTGTCCCAAGGCCACGGAGTGAGTGCAAGGCCTTAGAGGCTGAGGGAAAGGGTCCCAGAAGTCAGGGCAGGCGGCCCTTTCCTCAGACAGAGAGAGCGCGTCCAGGCGGAGGCCCTGCCCGACAGGACTGTCTGCGATGAAGGACGTGTTCTCTAGGTCTGCATGCACGGCCATGTGGCCCCCAACGCTTTAAACGAGCCCGGTGCAACTGATGAACTGAATTTGTTTTATTTGCCTTAATTCAGATTTAATCCCAGGCGGCTCTTGGCTACCCTGCTGCATCCGGCATGAGCGGCCGGGGGTGCACTCGGGGCGCCGGGCCTGCAGGGCCGGAGCCTCGGGGTCAGAGGCTCGTCTGAGAAAAGCAACAGCCTGAGAATCGTTAGATTCTCTCTTTACTAAACTGAACTGCTTGGGGTGGGGCACTGGCCACTGACCCAGAAGTTGTGGGGGGGGTGCCCTGGGCATTTTTAGGAGTGAAGTTGTGCTGAGGCATGAACCCTGGGCCTCCTCTCCCTGTGCACTTCTCTTCTCTATCAGCCGAAGTCACGGTGCCCCCAAGGCCCCTGTGCTCTGCCACGTGCCTGCTGCTCTCTGAAATGCTCTGACGCTCCCCGCAGGAGCGGAGGCGCTGTGCACGCGAGGCGGTCGGGGCGTGGTGTTGTCCTGATGCTTTGTCGCATTGGGTCCTTCTCCCAACATTTTAAAGAAATCCCTTGAGGGGGATAAAATGCCTGTGGATTAATTAAACCCGGTAACAAGCCATTTGCCCACTCCCAAGACCTATTAAATCACAGATATTCCATAAAGAAGCCCCTGAAGGGGTTGCAGTGTCTGGGGAAAAGTATTTAATCACCTTTGCATCATCCACTAAATTTCCCACTGGTTTTCCTGATGACAAAATGCATTTTTGGAAAGCTGGCAGTTTCCTGCCCTGTGCTCGTTCACCCCCCAGTGAGCTCTTGAAACCCTTAGACGGAGAAGCCATGTTCCCCTTGCTTATTACAGGAAAGCAAGCTGGGCTGTGGGCTCCAGGAAGCAAGGGGCCCAGCCCAGACCTTTGAACTCTCGAGTCTGTCCTCTTCTGGACACAGTGTCACCTCCTGAGCACCACGGACCCAGAGCAAAGCAAAAATGTTTTAAATTCACCCCTCTTCTCAAAGTTTAATAAAAATTTCTACCATGGTGCTATTCAGGTGCAAGAGAAATAAAAGAATTCTCAGTGTAGAAGAAAAATAGATGTTGGGAAATCTGTGCTAGCACCAGCAATGGAAAAATGCACACGCTGATGCCTCTTAGAACTGCTGATAAGCGATCCTTTCAAGAGAGCAGGAAACACGGCCACAGGGCCAGGCACCATGGCTCACACACGCCTGGGGGTGCTCTGTTTCCCAGATGCCCACAACTGGTCTCCATAAATTTCCTAGTGTGAGGAGGCCAGGGGGGTTGCCATGTGTTTCCGAATGATAAAATTCAAAGGATTACTGACAACATAGCTTATATAATATTTTTCCTGGATTGATAAAAAAATGCATGCTAACACTTTG